CCCCAAAACCCCAAAACCCCAATTGTTAGATTCTAACATGATTCATGTGAAAATAAAATTAATAATTAATTTTTATTGGTATTAAGTTTATTTCTATGTTTTTATATAATAATTAAAGATAAGCCTAAGTTTAGTTTTAAATTTATTAGCAGCAATAGCTAATAATTGAATTTCAGCTCAAGATCATTAGTTAATAAATTTTGATAATTAAGTGTCACATTTAATCTGTTCAAAGGTTTCGAATATTTTCTTAAGATAATCAAATCCCTCTATGTAATCTGATTTACTTTCTGACATACATTTGTTATCTCTAAATGATTATTCTTTGTGGTTGATCAAAAAGTGGTGCACAAGGAATTTGAATGAGTTTAAGTTTACCAAATAGCTCAATTTCTTGAAGCTAAACTGATATAAGGAAGAGTTAATTGTGCTGATTATTTCCTTAGTTTTGTTATTTTAAAATATTTTATACATTCGTTCAGAATAAAACATTGATCCAAGAAGAAATGTTAATTCTTCAAAAAGCTCATTATCTTCATTTTAGCAAATTATTAAATTTCCCTCTTATTAAATTTTGAGATTTTTCATTAAATTTTCGCTGATGAAATTTTAAATTGCAAAGAGATAATATTTATCATGCCTATATCTCTATGTGTTTAAGTATCTAGTCTCCCGTAAAAATTATTTAAGGTAGCATTTTCTGACTTCTCTAATGATAGTCTTGAGTACCACATCTTTCCGTTAAATATTTATCATGTTCTGAAGTCTTTCATTCTTCAATATTCTTATTGAAGTTTAAAGTTGGAATGAATAACAAAATTTCTTGTTTATTTGCTATTCTAATTTTTTAGTATCAATTTTTTCGATCTCGATATCGTTTTTTTTGCTTAATCTCTTTATGATTTACCTATTATCAATATTTTTTGAATGCTTAGAATGCTCACTTTCATCAGATAGAATCGTTGTATTGCTTACTTGTATTCCCAAATTTTCCGATTCCAAAATTGGCTTATTAAGAGAAAGAGATTTCTAATTATTAGCTTATGATAGGTGAATATCAATTCTATTATCAATTGTTGGCTCGTCCTTTTCTCCTCCTATTTTTATTGTAACCTTGAGATCTTTAGCATTAAATATTATTTTGGCATTTTAATGATCCTCTACTTCTTACTTTAAATGAGATTTATCAAAAACATATGGCTGAATATTCATTTCTGTTGCAGAAAAATGTAGATCGACAGGAATATTATGGAATAAGTCGCATTACTAGATAGGAGTTAATTCGTACATGAAAGTTTCTTCATATTGCTCATTCAAATTTTAAAATAAGTCTGCTTCATTGAAAGATTCGTGCCACTACTTTGTTGGTTGCAGGAAGTGGTCTATCATGAAATCGAAAGGATCCTATAAATGGTCGTGGTTGATCATAAGTTTTCTTTAATTTATTTAGAATTATTACTATGCTATGAGTATTAAAGTAAGATTTTCACTAGTATTCTGATAAATAATTTATTAATCAAACTCATATCAAATACTTGGCTGATTAATCCCTCTGGGGTTTTGGGGTTTTGGGGTTTTGGGGTTTTGGGG